CCACAAATTTCTTGTGTGTCCTTAAGGAATTTAATTCCCTCACTGTTGCCCAAGGTTATGGATTACTTCCTCCCAGGATAGAACGGAATAATTAGAGCGAACTCAACAAACAGAGCAAATCACACTTGATACTTTATTTATTTAGAAAATAATGCAACCATGTAGAAAAGAGGGGAGGAGTTTTCAGATTTTTCCTTCTAAAAATGAGGCCAAGCCTCTAAATTTATAGGCAATAAAAGGATAAGATGAAGAGGTGCAATCCAAGATGTGCCTCTTCTATTTTCCATTCACACCTTTAGAAAAACCCAACAAGGAATTCCTTCTCAATTGTACAAATTTTTGATTAACAGAGTATTTCATCTAGAGATTTTACTTTGGAAGTAGTAATTATATTAATAAACTAATACAATAATATAGAGAAAACGTGCTTAAAGGCTGATATAAGAGGATATTCGCGTCTATTCTGAATTCTTTCTTTTCGTCTGTCTACTCTGAACTCTTCAATTAAGAAACAGTTATTTCCATTTTTTCTTAAAGAAAGGTTTCATACCGTAGTGCTCAATTAATTAATGATATAACGTCACCAAATGATGTGATGTATTGGATATGACTGCTCTTTCCTTAACCAGAGGTCTCGAGCTCGAACCCTGAGTATGGAAAAATCCATGGTAGGGGGAGCGTTTATCCTCGAATGGGGCCCTACGCGGCGCGTATCTAAATATAATCGGGCTCAAATGCGAATACCGAACATCGAATGGGAAACCAAAAAAATAATGATATGACAACACGTCTGCGAGAAGAGCGTTTGATGAGATTAGTGAAAGTTTTTAATGTCTCACAAATGAAGAATATACCACCCATATTAAGCCAGTGGTCACATGCCAAATGGCCAAGTCTTCTTCGTTATTACTTAGGAACACTAAAATTTACGAACACTAAAATCCAAAGTTCACGTGCCTCCATATTTCTTTGTTGAAAAATAAATAATGCAGTAATGCGCGCGCTCTCTCTCCCTCTCACTATTTTAAGTCGGGCGGATGTGACATAGAGTGCTTGGTTCAACTGAACCCAATATTTTTAAGGTGAAATATATATATTTATATGCAAAATTCATCAATACAACAAAAACTAGTAGATATGAATCAACTCTAAAAATATAATGGGTTTAATACTAAGAATATTAAAGGTTGAACCCATAAAATTCAAATCCTAGAATTGTCTCTGATTATTTAATTTAAGTTGACATTCGCGATTATGAAATGTGAATGTATGAAAGTGTTACTAGAATATTTATTCAAAAATGGATACAAGATTTGAAGGTCATGATATAAATTTTACTAGGGTTGTCAAAATATTAAAAAAGCAAACACAAATAAAATAAAAATAAAGGGGAGTACTAAACATATTATATATATATATCATAAATTTATTTTTTGACTTACTTAAACAATATAATTTTATGGAGAACGGTCAGTTGACACCACTTCGCATAAGGTGACTCCGCCACTAGTCATTAGCGGTTCATTATTTATCGATAGTATAGGATATATTTGATTAGTTCGCCTGATACTGAGTTAATTTCATTATATATCATCGATTACTTGTTTATAAATAGCTAAATTGATCAGTGTCGAATTAATCTAGTTCATTAAATTTTTTCTCCTCGAAAAGATACTGTATAAAACTGTAGCCTGTGAGGGTTGCCTGAGTTAGTTGTGTGAGTGGTTTCCCACATGAGATATCTGGGATCGATTCCCCTCACTAGCAGTCTCCTTAGTCAGAGTTCGTCGCACCGGGCATGCCTAGTGCAGCTTACATTTCCTGTGTGGTTTGCGAGCTATTGTACAGTGAGTAGGTTAACCAGTGCGCACCCAAAAAGTAGCGGCTGCGAATTTTTATGGAAATTTTCCAAAGAAGACCTGTTAAAACGTAAACCTATCAAAAAGACAAGTTGGGTGGAAATATAGCTTGCTTTAGATTTATTTTCTTCTTCTCGTTTATTTTCTTTTTTCCAATATATAGAAGGAAAAAACAAGATCTAATTTGATGTTTGTGCCGACACGTGTAAGACAAATACCCAATGGGGTTAGCGATTGGGTCCCTTCAAATCTGCATAGAAAAGAACAGGCCAAGTAAAATTAAAACTAGAATCAAAGCTGTTGTCTGTCGACTGTCTGTCCAAGGTATCAGCTGGAACCCTCTTCTTCTTTCTTTAAACTAATTAACTAAATAATCCTTCTTCCACACTACTTTAGATTAAAAAAGAAAAACCATATATAAGTAACAAAATATGTTTTCTATTCCTTATTATCTTCTAGATTTCTCCCTTCCTTTCTGAAATATTCAGGAAAACACCCCAAATCAAGAACCAAAACCTGAGCTTAATACACCCTTTTGCTCAAAATAATGGTTTGTTCACTAGTTTCCAATGCAAACCCATTATTCTCCAATGTTCAAAGCTTCAGAAAAAACCAATCTTTATTATGTTTGAACAAATCTATTTCATGTTGTCAGCAGCAAAATCTTTGTCCCAAAACACATTTGATAAAGATAATAGGACCCCAGAAAAAAGATGAGCAAGTTTTTCCTCCTAATAAGGTCAAGAAAAAAGGTTTCTTTGAGGAAAAAAATGGTTTTTCTCAAATGGAGAGTCAACAAAATATGGCAATATTATGTGGGGTTGGGTATTGGGTACAGGGTTTTAGGTGTTTTCCTTGGTTGGCTCTTAATTTTCACATGGTAGATGGATTAAATATGCTTCCATCTACATTACAACTTGTGCAGTATTCTGGGATTTTACCTATGGTTGCTAAACCTATTTATGGAATTTTGTCTGATGCTGTTTATGTTGGTGGTGCTCATAGATTACCTTATATTTCAATTGGAGGTAATATTTTCTTCCCCCTTTGCTTTGGTTTATTTGATTTGTCATATCTTTGGCCTTTGCTGGTATATTTGAGTTTCAAGATTTAGTACTTCTCTTTGTTTTTGTATGTGGTGTTAGTGTTGTTTTTTTTAAGGTCCTTTTTGCACTTTTGGTTGGTTTTGATTTTGGTGACTTCAGTAGGAAAAAAGTTCTTAACGTGTAAAGGTTATTGGAATAAAGTTAGCTGCAGCTTTTAGTTTCCTCTAATAATAGGGAAAGGTTTCTATTGATAAGATACTGATCTTTAGTGTAAATCAAGGGATACCCTTTCAAATTAATTGTTTGGAAGTAGAAAATCATGAGATTCAAGAGCACAATTTAATAACCTCGGTTTGTGGTGAGGACTGATTACAATGGACCAGTGTTGTGAATAGCGTGAAGCGAGGAAAAGCGACAACCCCCCATTTCACGAAAAGCGAGAAGCGAGAAGCAAAACGCTCGCTTTTTTTAAGTGAAGCGGAATTTAAAAAAAAAAAATTAGAATAAATACGGCATAGACAACACATGTAATTGTAAGCAAAATAGCAAATGTTCAATACTTCAATTAAAAAACTAAAGAGTAGCATCAATTAAAGCACAAAATGAGCATCCTATTCTTCTACAAGATTGTCAAATTCTTGTATTCCACTATCATTTATTATATTGCTTGTCATCTTCTTCAACTTCATCTTCTTCATCAACTAGGGACAAAGTAGCTGCCTGTTTTCCCTTCCTCTGTGAACTTGAAGTTGAGGTACTCCCCCTCAAACCATAAATCCTCTCCCCAATTTCATGCGCCTCCGCAACATCACCCCAAGTGATATCAGAAGTATCATCAAATATTTCTTCATCTGCATGATCTTCCGGGACTCCAGTTAGCCATTCATTAGCATCATCGATGTTGTCCAAACTAATTGGATCAATTACATTGCGAGCGTTGTAACGACGCCTTAATGTTCTATTATACTTAATGAAGACTAGATCATTGAGAGGCTTCAAGGTTAGTTTGTTCCTCTTTTTGGTATGAATCTGCAAATAATAAGTAATTACTCCCTCCGTTCCAATTTATGTGAACCTGTTTGACTGGGCACGGAGTTTAAGAAAAAAATGAAGACTTTTGAAATTTGTGGTCCTAAACAAATCCAAATGGGGCCAGAGTATTTGTGTGGTTATAAAAGCTTCTCATTAAGGGTAGAATGGTAAGTTTAAGCTAAATTGTTACCAAATTTAGAAAGGGTTCATTCTTTTTGGAACGGACCAAAAAGGAAATAGGTTCACATAAATTGGAACAGAGGGAGTAGTAAGATTAGAACAATTGAGATATAATTTAATTATCTCAATATACTAAATCTTTCTTCTTAGTTCTTACATGCTCAAACACGCTCCAATTCCTTTCACACCCGGATGAACTACATGTTAGACTTAGAAACTTGATGGCAAACTTTTGTAAATCGGGAGTGGAATGACCATATTGCTTCCACCATTCAACTGTAGAAGTAGAACAAATTTTCAAAACATAATATTAATAAAGAAATAACTTATTAACTATAAAACAACATATAGGCACTCGCTCACCTGGTGACTTCGTCGTTCTTTGTCTAAAGGCCATGTTTTTTCCAAAAAGTTGTTCAGCATTCCTATAAATACTAAATTGCTCTGTGATTTTATCTTGCACGGATTCTTCAGGTATCAACTTCTCAATGTATTCATAGTATCCACTCTACAAAGGTTCATCTCCTAGAATCCTCTCTTCATTGGCATAAAACAGTTCCGGGTTCAAAACAAGTCCAACTGCATGCAAAGGGCTATGATGCTTACTATCCCACCTTTAATCTATGATCTTAAAGACTCTTTTGTATTTTCTTTGATCACTAAAAGAGGCTTGAATAGCCTCCTTTGCCTTATCAATTCCACCAAACGAAGCACTTTAACTAAAGGACCACCAATCTTCAATGCATGAACCACATTGTTCCAGAATGAAGGAGAAAGTATAATATCTGCAGATTCTCTCCCTCGAGCTTCCCTTCCATAGGCACTGCTAGTGTACTCATCTGAAACAAACAACTTCTTCAAATTGCTTTTTTGCTCATACATCCTAGCCAAAGTCAAGAAAGCAAGTAGCAAATCTTGTCTTTGCAGGTTTCACCAAGCTTCTTTGTTTGGTGAATCTCTTGATCATGTTCAATAATAAAGGCCTTTGAACAATATAGGAATGCACTCTAATTGCCTGATTCAAGACAGGACTGAAGGGTCTTTCCTTGAAAATATCACCAAAGATCAAATTAACAGAATGTGCTGCACACAGAGTCCAATAGATATGCCGGTAGCAAGCAGACATCATTTCATTTCACCAGCTTTAACATTTTCACTGGCGTTGTCTGTGACAACTTGAACAATATTTTCTGCTCCAATAGAGTCTATTGTACTCTTGAACAAGGAGAACATTTTGGTTGAATCAGTCGAAGAGTCGCTTGCATCAACGGACTCAAGAAACAGGCTTCCCTTAGGAGAATTCACCAAGATATTGGTGATCATTTTTCCATTTCTCGCCGTCCACTTATCCATCATAATGGAACAACCAAACTTGTTCCATTCTACTTTGTGCTCCTCCACGATTTTGTTCACCTCTACCACCTCCTTTTTTAGATATGGCCCACTAACTTCATAATAAGTTGGAGGCTTCATTCCTGGACCATATTGGCCTACGGCCTCAATAAAAGCAGCAAAAGTGTCAGTATAATTAACACAGTTAAAAGGAAGACCTGCATCATACATCCACCGGGCAAAGCAGGTAACTGCACGGTCCCTCAAAATCGCTTTGGCATCAACTTGAGGATTACTACTTTTTCCTCCCTTATCTCCAGATTTTTGCAGGAAGTAACAATCCATAGGACCTTTGGTCTTGCTAGTAGATCCACAACTAGAAGACATTGGTGGAAGCATCCTTCCCCGCTTTTGTGATTTTGGTGGAAGAGACGAGGCATCGTCACCTTCTTCTGTTTCATCATCATCATCAAAATTATAAAGTTCTTGTTCATGAATCATTTGAGTCTTTAACTCTTTCTTTTTTTGAATGTATGCTTTCAATTCTTCCTTCACATGCCCCGGAACTTTAGGACAAGATGCGCCATTTGGATCACCACCGATTAGATGCGCTTTCTGACGATAGATTCCTCCATTTGTAATCTTATCACAAAAAAGACATCTAATTGTCATCTTGTTGGTCTCGCTAACTCTTGTAGAGTAAGCCCAAGCCGGGTCTTTCCTATCTTCTTTTGTCGCCATTAAAAGAACAACTACATAACACATAAGAAAGGCAATAAGAACTAAGAATAAAAGATATATAATTGGGCAGAAATTGGGCAGAAACTGGGCAGAAATTGGGCAGAACTTTTCTGAAAAAAATTCGCCAGCATTTCGGCGCTTTTTGGACGTTTAGAAAGAAAAAGAAAAAGAAGAAGAAGAAGAATGAAAATAAAAAGTGCAGAACATACATGTTGAAAGCTGTTGTTGTACTGTTGAAGAAGAAGAGGAAGAACCCTAGTTTTCTTGAACAAATCGCTGCTTGAAGTGAGGAAGAAATCGCTGGTTTTTTAGAACCCTAGTTTGCTGCTGAAGAAGTGCTAAAACAGAAACAGCGATTTGGGTCTTTTAATTGAAAAAAGACTTTGGGTCTTTTAATTGAAAAAGCGTCCGCTTCTTCCGCTCCGCTCCGCTTCACCGCTTCTCGCTTTTTAGAGTAGAAGCGGTCGCTTATGCATACGAGCCGCTTTTATTGGCAGTAGCGACCAGCCTTCCGCTCCGCGACGCTCTCGCTTAAGCGAGGAAGCACCGCTTTTTTAACACTTGT